ATTGTAGTAACTACATAAACAGTTATGTGTTAATGTACTGCCAGTCTCTACACTTGTCCTGTGTCAGTTGTGGCTGATTTCCTGTTCATTCCACATTCATCAACTGAAGCTCTGAATCCAGGGTTCTTATGAGCCATTACTGCTGGAACTGAATTGGAACTTAAGGTTAAGCCTATATGTTGTTATTCTTTTCCCATATATTTTTATTGGTGCATTGTAATTCTATATAAAGGTGGGATTCATTATTACATATTCATATATGCATAGGATATAACAATAATTTGGTCAGTGTCAATCCTCTGTATATTTCCCTTTCCCTCTTCTTCCTCCCCCTTCCCTATTTTCTACTCCAGTTCTGATCTGCCTCAGATTTTTATGAGACCCCCCTGCCCCACATCTTTCTTTTACTTATTCCTCTTTAGCTTCCACATATGAGAAAAAAACATATGACAGTTGACTTTCTGAGTTTGGCTTGTTTAGTCTTTAGGTACATCAGAGTTGTTCTTTGAAAGTATTTGTATTAATTCTGAATATAAATATGAAATCGTAGAAAATTTGATTACAATACCATCTCTAACATAATATTAGAGCAGTTGTTCTTACATCTTTTCTTCAAATGAAATATTACACAAATTTAGCATATAAAACAAGGAAATGCAGGCGCTTCATGGGTTGAAATGGGAGGTGTGGAAATGGGTAGGTAGGTGCAAGTAAAATCCAATTAGAGTAGCACTATCTGCTTTACTTCTGTTCTCCTGCCTATAATAATCTAAAATACTTTCTTTCGAAAATCCTGTTTAAGAATATTGCCCAAGTGAAAAAGCTTGATCAAATGGAAGTAATACTTCCTAGGAATCAGGATGCCTGATCTTAAACTTACTCTTTCTCCATTCAGCTATGGGAATATAAATCAATCACTTACTCAGTCATCTTCTGTGTCTTGTCATTCATATGGAAGAGTCATTTGACTTAGAGACTTCTACTATCTGAACCTATTTCTGGTCTGTTATTTAGGATCAAAGAATTTGATTAGTATCATCAATAAAAAGACAAAGCCAATAAAATTGAGCAACAGGCTTGAGCAGATAACTTTACCAAAGATGTCCAAGTGCTCAATAGCCACATTACTAGTCATAAGGGAAATCAAAATTAAAATTACAATGAGATAAAATTTCACATGCACTAGAATGACTATAATTAAAAATGCTGGCAATGCCAAATGTTAGGATATGGAGTAATTAAGTAGAGGTCTTACATTTTGCTAGTGTGTATATAAAATGGGCACAGTGGACAATTCTTAAAACATTCTCTTTTATGTGACCCAGCAGTCCCATTCCCAGTTATTTACCCAAAACATATATTCATAAAAAGAAATGAAAACATATATCTATGAAATATTTGTATAAGAAGGGTTCATAGCAGCTTTATTCATAATACTCAAAAACAACTCAAGTATTCTATCAATAAAAACAACTCAAGTATTCTATCAATAGGTGAACAAAGAAATTGTTATATATTCATACAATGGAATAATAACAAAAGAAAGCAAATTACTATATGACATGAATGAATGTTAGAGATTATATTGAAAAAAGCTAGGATAAAAAACTTAAAATTAATAAAATCCAAAACCAATAAAGCTAATCTATGATGATAGAAATCAGAAAGTGGTTGCTTCCGACAGAAAGGCTCTTGACTGAAGAGGGGCACAGGAAACTTCTGGATTGATGGATATGTTTTATAATTTTTGGGGGGCTTGGATTACATGATTTATACAGTTATCAAAACTCATTGAAATGAACATGTAAGGTTTATGCATCTTATTTTGTGCCAGTTGTACCTCAGTTTGAAGCATTAAGACAGTTGAATAATATGAAGTATAAGTTAAATTCTGAAGTTGGGTCTGTGTCATTCCTTAAGAAGGGGCAAAGGGAATACAGATCCCTTTCTGAGGCAGAAACAGTGGGAAAAGTTAAGGATGTTAATTGGGAAGAAAAACCAGGGTGGGCAAATATGTGCTAGGAATTTTAACTCACATTAATTTTTCCATAAACATTAAAGGGATTTTCTGCTGTTTTCTGTAATGTGCAAATTATATGTTAGAGCTAAATAAAATGTGATTCTACTTCTAGGTTTAGGCCACTAGTTAAGTATTTTGAGTTTATATTTCGTCCATTATCTTATTTGATATGTATTTTATTTTCTGATCACCCAGATGTTTTTCCTGAATATATTTAGATTCTTAGTGGTTTTAGGAGTAAAATTTATTTTTGATGTGCTTATAAAACTTTATCCAACTTTTTTGTTGCCTAATTTTTGTAGGATTTGGAAGGGAAGTTTTTTTCTCGACTTATTCTTTTTTTAAAAATCAAATTGGCATTTTTTATTGATTTTTTTAAAAAATAAATGACAGTGGAATGCATTACAGTTCTTGTTACACATATAGAGCTCAATTTTTCATATCTCTGGTTGTATGTAAAGTATATTCACATCAATTCATGTCTTCATACATGTATTTTTTTGGATAATGATGTCCATTACATTCCACCATCCTTGCTAACTCCCTGCCGCCTCCTTTCCCCTTCCAAGACCCCTCTGCCCTATCTAGAGTTTGTCTATTCCTCCCATGCTCCCCCTCCTTATCCCTGCAAATGCCATAATTTTATTCTCTTTTATTGCTGAGTAAAATTCCATTGTGTATATATGCCACATTTTTTTTATCCATGAGTGAAGGGCATCTAGGTTGGTTCCACAGTTTAACTATTGTGAATTGTCCTGCTATAAACATTGATGTGGCTGTGTCCCTGTAGTATGCTGTTTTTAAATCCTTTGGGTATATACTGAGGAGAGAGATAGCTGGGTCAAATGGTGGTTCCATTCCCAGATTTACAAGAAATCTCCATACTGCTTTCCATGTTGGCTGCACCAGTTTGCAGTCCCACCAGCAATGTATAGAGTGTCCCCTTTTCCCCACATCCTCGCCAACATTTATTGTTGTTTGTCTTCATAATAGCTGCCATTTTGACTGGAATGAGATGATATCTTAGAATAGTTTTGATTTGCATTTCTCTAATTGCTAGAGATGATGAACTTTTTTTTGTTATATTTGTTGATTGATTGTATATCCTCTTCTGAGAAGTATCTGTTTAGGTCTTTGTCCCATTTATTGATTGGGTTATTTATTTATTTTTTGGTGTTTAGCTTCTTCACTTATTCTATATGAATTAATACATGAGAATCAACATATAATTTTATATTTAATTTAGTTTCCCTAAAAATATGGGAATACACCAGTTGATTAGTGTTTAAGTTAAAGATTTACAGTAGCAGACTGTCAAATGCAGATATGCTAATGAGCATTGTGCTAGTAGCCAGCTATTTGTTTAGCTTCTTTTTGAAGTCTTCTGAAAATATCTCTGTGTGCATATTGCATGAATAGGCTGCAATACCTACCTCTTGAATAGATGTAAACCTAAAACAAAAGTTGTTTTGTCTTTGAAAACTACATTTCCCTATCTGCAGAAGTCTTCTCTTTTGATTTATGTTGTAGATGACCTCATTGGTAAAATTTAAAGAGCTAGGTGCATCATAGTATGTGGCTAGTAAGGAACTGACTGATTTAGTACTTTTCAAAAATGCAGTTATAATATAGGAACATTGTTTCAGTATTTTAAACACTCCTGCATAGTGAATTCTTTTTAAAAAAAGAAAAAAAAATATTTGAAACCTGGAGTCATGCTACTTCAGAGGGTGATGAAACAAAGTAATTTCTTATCCAGTTTCAAAATACTGAAAATATTTTGAACTGTATATGTTATATGTATTCATGTTTTTCTCAAGATGCTTATTGATCTTTTTATAAAATTTAAAAGGTTATGAAAGTATTTTGAGTTTTACAATGCTAGAAGTTAAACCTGTATTTAACTGATTTTTATTTTTTCCATTTTTTCTTAACTAGGTCCTTTCTGATGTTGCTTGAGCTTATTCTTCTGCAGTTGATCTCATTCCTGTTGGCTAAACATTAAGTCCCCTGACAACATTAAGTTAATGCTCATGTGTTTTAGGCCTCATTTATAGTACCACGATAGTATTATAGAAAAGAAAAACTTTACATTTTAGATGACCTAATTCCTTTTTTTCTATTTCTAGAAACATGATAACTTTTATAAATAGTCATTGTCACACTTTGGCTTATCTATCTACACTAAAGAACATAGTTGAGTTTTTGGAAACTACAGGATTTGAAAATTTGGTCTTTAGTTTACACACATAATTATTACAATTAATGAAGCAGGAAATTATTGGTGCATAAGATGGATATTTATTGTGGAACAGTAATACTTCAAATATAATTGTTTTTTAAATAATTTGGGTTAGTTTTTGGATATTTTTCTATACTATAAGTTGATAATGGTTTCTTAAAAGTTTATTTTATCAACATGATTCATTTTACTATTTTGTGGTACCAGTAGGACTCTAATGTTAAATTGGTATGTTGCGTTTATAAATGTTTATATTAGCATTTAAATAATGAAATATTGGACAGTTAGTTTCTACCAAATTTTTCTGAAATCCAGAGGTAAATGTTTCTACTGGTTTGATGCCTAATACAGTTTCAAAAAAAGCAACTATGAATTTTCTGTTTTTTTATCTTTTCTTCATGAACTGCCCCTTAGTGTCAGAACAGGAGAAGAGAAATCAGAGGTTCTCTTTTTCTATGTTAAAAAAATTATATAAATAAAGACAAGGAGTACATTCTAGTAAGATCTCTAAAATGCGCTGTGTCAGTGAAGGCAACATTAATACTGACTTGATAAAACTAAGGACTTGAATTGCAGTGAATATGGAAATAATATTTACCACCAGTACAGTATCATCAGGATTTGAAAATGTTAGAACATTATGTTAAAATGTGATTATAATTTTAATGCTTTATCTCTTTGAATTAAATTTGTGTCCATAAAGATGTGCAGCATAATTGTTCATGTATTTATTTACAGACTACAATTTCCGTCGCAGCTCAATAAATAGTCTTTCCCCTGTTAGTGCTACCCTCTCTTCTGGGACTCCCAGCGTGCTTCCTTATACTTCAAGACCTTATTCTTATCCAAGTTATCCCTTGTCACCAACAATATCTCTTGCTAATGGCAGCCATGTTGGACAACGACTATATATCTCCAATCAGGCCTCATTCTTCTGAAGAAAATCTGTAAACATTAGTATGAAAATTTCTTGTGAAAAGCATGCAAATTAAAATATTGTTTTATTTTAGAGTTGGGTTTGCACATTTGGCTTCAAAAATGATATGTTTATGCCAACATAATAAACATCTGCTATAATTCAAAGAATAACATAGAGTTGCAAAATTTATAAAAATGGAAAGTTTAAAAAGTTATTCAGTGGTTTAGCAAGCTACTATTCTTTTTAAACTTTTGAGATTTTCTTAATTCCTAAGTGGGTAATAGATCCCAGTAATTTGTTAATTTTTTTTTGTATAACTTTGCAGTATAGCATTTCACAAATGTAAACCACTTGAAGACAATGGTTATACTAGATTGATGACCAAGGATCTCTATCTGTATTGGAAATTGGAACACTTATATAACCAGAAGCATCTAGCTATTATGTAGAAAGAAATGATGAGGCAAAAAGATTAATATGCAAATTTTATGCAGTACTAAAGAAAAAGCAATCTAACATTGTGGTCCTTGAAAATAACTAAATAGTTTAGTTAATAATTATTTGTTACAAAAATTGTAATTTTGCTGTTAATATATTTAAGGTTTTTATAGTTATGCTTCATTTGTGTTTTTGATATTCGCTGTATTGTTTGAATAAGAAGTGTTATGGTTTTTTAATGTTGAAATCATGTTGTTTAATTTTTGTACTTGAATTCAAACTTTGACATTAAATATGTGATGCTTCTCATACATGTGTTTTATTTTAATTAGAATACACATACACAAAAATTAGGTCTCACAATCATTGTGATCTTGGAGAACAGTTTTCCTTACTTGGTTATATATAGTTATAGGATCATTGGTGCAGTGTCTTTATGAAACCAAATCATGGAATATTATATAGGGAGAAAATTGTTAGCTTTGTGATACAGTAACAAAAACATTTTTAGGGGCAATAGAAGTATTGTTTAGACTCACTGAAGTTTCTCCCATTTACTTAAAAATAATTCAGTGAATTCAGATCATTTTGACTATTCATTGGTTTAGTAATGTACATTCATAATGATTTATAATGACATTTTCTTTATTTATTTATTTATTTATTTATGTATTTATTTTTAGTATTTGGCGGACACAACATCTTCGTTTGTTTGTGGTGCTTTGGATCGAACCCGGGCCGCACGCATGCCAGGCGAGCGCGCTACCGCTTGAGCCACATCCCCAGCCCCTATAATGACATTTTCATAATTGATGTCAGTGATGAAAATCTTAGATATCAAACATTACCTTTGTTGATTAGCTCACTCCACCTGTACAGACCTAACATATGCATATAATTTGAAATGGTTGCAGATAACTTTTCTACCAACTTGAGTTTGTAATAGAAAGTATGTGAATAGTAAATTCATCTTTTAATTCTCTAAAGGTAGTTTATTACACATAAGTCATACTTAACTTTTTTACAATTTAAATGAGCATGGGCACTAAATCAGCACTATTTTTCCCCTACACAGCTGTGTCTGAATTGCATAGATTTTGCCGTTTAATTGCCATATGTTTATAGTTCACAGTTGCATATCACTCATTCAGCAGACATACGGTGTTCTATTTTTTTGTTGGCTGGTGATAGCCTTGTCACACACAGGTGACTCAGGCTTTAAGACAGAAGAAAATCAGACACAATTAGTTTTTTATAAAAATGTTTGGAATGACCCAAATTACAAGTTTCCACATATTTTTTTTTTTCATTTTGGAAAAAAAAATTTGAGCGAGCTTACCAACAACACCAAGTGTTTGGTGATCTGTGTTAAAACAGTGGAAAATGTGTAACTAAGCTTTGGTATCACATTGAATTACCACTTCTGCCATTAACAGCTCTTTGAACTTGGATTTTTTTTTTTTTTTAAGGGTTGAGGATGGAACCTGCAATCTGTGCAAATGCTCTACCACTGAGCCATACCCACAACCCCTGGCTTTTACAGTTCTTAATCTGTTTCATACCTTTCACCTTTGTAAAATTGTGATACATTCATTATAAAGTTAAAACATCTGGCAAGTGAAATGTACTCAAATGTTAGCTGATGTTTGGGTATAATTATATGAAGATGGTAGTACTCTTTTGCAGTCTTCTCATCACTTCTCTCACAGGAATATAGAAATCAGTATATTTGTGCTACTTTTTGTGATGTTATGGATGAGCAATTAATCTTATATTGTATGAAATTTCATTTGATTTGTGAACATTAATTATTTGCTGCCTTGATGTTTATACAATAGATTATATAGGCCATTACTCTAAATGAAGTCTTCCCTAGTTAGTTGAACACAAGCTATTGATAAATCTTGGTCATGATATATCTCATTGGGCAGGGAAACATTTCTAAAGACAGGTTATGTCAGAATTTGTGTGCCACTTTTTGCAAAGAACTCTGCCTAATATGTGGGAGTGTGACCAATTATGGAGCCATGTACCATTTTGCTTAACGTCCCCTCTAAACAAAAAGGTATACAGAAAGTTTAATTAACTTTATCTCTCTCCTTTGTTTTTATGTTAAAGTGGGAAAGGTTTCTGTAGCAACAACTCAAAATTCTAGAAACCATAATAGAAAAGATTGATAAATCCAACTTAAAAAGAAGAACCTAGCCGGGTATGGTGGTACACACCTGTAATCCCAGCAACTTGGGAGACTGAGGCAGGAGGATTGTGAATTCAAAGCCAGCCTCAGCAATTTAGAGAGGCCCTGTCTCTAAATAAAATTTAAAAATGGGCTGGGGATGTGGCTCAGTGGTTATATGCCCCTGGGTTCAATTCTTGGTACAAAAAAACAAAACAAACAAAAAAAACAATCCTGCATGTCAAGAAAGAACTATAAGTTGTTATTAAGTTACATCAAAAGAAAACAAACTGGAGAAATACTTAGATTATTTCACAAAGGGCCAATCTCTAATTTCGAGGTACTGATGAGTTAAAAAATCAATAATGCAATGGAAAAATGGATAAAATGTCTGACTAGACTGATGTCAGATGTCATATAAAGAGATACTTTATCTCATTAAAAATAAATAAAAGTTTAGATAATATTGAAAGTTCTATAAATTTTAGGAGAATCTTTATTGTCATACATTGCCAATGCAATTATAAATTGCTTAGTTCACATAGAGAATAACTTGACAGCTATTGATATTGCAAATACATCTTTGGATCCAGCAGTCATAGTTTTTTGAGATATACTTGTGTGTGTGGAATGATATATGTGAGGCTATTCATCATTGGGGAACTGCTTTAGGAATACATTTATCAGTACACACTAAGACATGTACAAAAGACAAAATTCTCTATTCCTGAAAGAGATAATGCTAAGCAAAAGACTGTTAAAAAAGGTACAGAAATATATGCGTAATAATTCAGTATGCTATTTTTGGGTAAAGAAGAGGGCAAGAACAATTGTATATGCCCACAGTGCACATAAAATCCTGGAAGGATAAACAGAAAACAAGTATTCTTGACAGGAGTAGATGAAGTCACCCTGCAGAAGTTCCTTTTATCTTTAGACAGTGCAGTGGTAAATAATTTCAACCAAAAAGACACATAATTGTTCTTATAAGCAAAATGGAAGATCTTTTTGTGAACAGTAATCCAAACAAACACATTAGGAAAAGCTGCACTGATCTGTTTACTGAATATTCAGAAATTTTGAGTAGAGCCCCAGGGTAAAATAAAGCTCTCCAGGAGATTAACAATACACAAGCACTATATATACTTCACTAGTTTTGACTCATTGGGTCCAGTGGACTTGAAATGTGTCACTAATTATCCTGTGTATGGGCATGAAGCATTTTCAACTTCTGATGGGAAAAATCGCTTTGAAGATCTCTAGGATTTGGAGCAAAGCCCTGATCTCTTAGTTTCCTTTTGAGAAGTAGTCCTTAGTTAATGATTAGGCCTTAATAGAAACTGACTATAGGATACCAAATAAAGTGAGTTGCCCATCATGAATTGGATGTTACCAAATTCATGAGGCTGAGAATGTCTAACATCGAAAGGGTTTGTGGTGACAAATTTGAGGCTTCTTTCTGCCATAGTGCCAGTCTGTTGTATTATGGAGAGTTCCTAAGATCAGTTGTGCTCATTTTAGGAATAAGACAAGAATATATTATCCTAAGGATAATAGTGAAAGTTGCCATCATGTTCATCCATAAGAAGTAAAAAGAGCTATGGGTAAATGGCAGATCTCAGTGTCTCAGTGGATATAAGGGAGCAGGTAGCAGGGGAGGGGAAGGAGAGGTAGTGGGGACTGAATTAGCACAAGATATGCTCCATATTTTTTTTTGGTACCAGGGATTAAACCCAGGACTGCTCAACCATTGAGCCACATCCCCAGCCCTTTTAAATATTTAGTGGTCTTGCTGTGTTGCTTAGGTGCTTGCTAAGTTTTTTTTTTTTTTTTTTGCTGAGGCTGGCTTTGAATTTGTGATCCCCCTGCCTCCGTCTCCTAAGCTGCTGGGATTATAGGCATGTGCCACCTCTCCTGACCATTTTCATGCTTTTATAATTATGTCAACATAGATTCCACTGTCATATGTAACTAAAAAGAACCAATAAAAAAGGAAAGTTGCCAAAACTAAAAATCTCTTTACACATCCTATAGAAACTATACAAAGCTAAAACAAAAACAAACCATACATTACCCACCTCTTCAACATAACAAGAGAACACTATAATTTTCAAATTACTTGTAAATAAATATATAAATATCAAATTCTAGCAGAGTAATTTTTTTCTTGAGTTCTTGTATAAGCCTTTGTGGAGAATAAGGGCTCATGAGTCTGGAAAACTAGAAAACAGGAGAGGAGAGAACCTAAGGTAAGCTAACAGAATATCCCTAGTGTGAAAACACTATAAAATTATCCTGATATATACAATAATTGACTAAAGGAAGAGGACTTTAGAATTGTTTGGCTCTGAGAGGACAGTCTTGGGAAGGTATCCCAATTGGGAGAAAATAGTAAAAAAAAAGAACTGGGATATACTTTTAGATGTGACTGGTGAAGGGGTTAAAAAAGGGGGAGGGGATTCACAGTCCTGTAAGAGAAATAAGAACCAGAAAAAAATAAGGTGGGTGACATCAGCAATATGGTGGAACAGGATTTCCTAGACCTGCTAAATCCCAGGGAGACATGGATTTAAAAGACATGACCAAACTGAAGCCAGTAGGGAAATTGGTGGCATCATCAGCAGAGCCCCTATCTTTGGCATGGTTTGGTTGGATTGAGAGAAATCCCCAACTCCTGTCTTTAATCTAGAGAGAAAAGAGTAAAACGTAGGTCCAACATTCTGACTTTTAGAGAACTTTACCAGAGGAGCCAGTTTCTATCTTGCTTGAATTCTATCACTGACAGAAATGGGATACTGATTTGCAGATCTTAGAATGAAGTACATTAGAGCCTGCAATAATACATACATACAAACACCAGAGGGAGCTCCTGTACTGTGGCCCACTACAGCCCCAGAGAGACTGCAGCATCCCTTTCAGACCTTGAATAGAAACTGGTAAACTTCTTGGATTAGGAGATTGCACACACAGGAAAGGATGCATCACCAGAAAAGTCTT